AATTCTTTTGTCCACATTGATCAGAGTGGTGGTCAACCACTTACTTGACAACCCGAATCTAAAATTACGTCATGGAAGTATTTGGGAATTGATGAATTCATCTTGCTTAGGTCTGTATTTTTTCTTTTTAATAATAATTGATTGATAATTTCAAGAAGTTTTCTTTTCTTTTTTCCTCAGAGTTGTGGGTGCCTTCAAGTGTAGACTGATTCGGGAAATTATCTTTACTTGAAAACTGTGATTTGGGGCCTGTAAGTCAATCTGCACTCTCTAATATTCTACTTGATCTCTAATAAGTTTAAGAAACGATGAACCCTGATTTGGCTCATGACTTGATAACAAACAGTTGTTATATCCCACTGCTTACCATGAATCAATCAACACTGCACTGCCTGTGACAGGTAACAATGTCCACCACAGCAAACCAGAGCCGCCCGGCCACCGGCGGCATCCCATGGAATCAAGACGCCGAGTCCCTCTTCCGCACGAAACCCATCTCCGAGATCCGAACCATTGAGGCCACCACTAGGAAGCAAATCAAGGACAAGAGCCAGGAGCTCCGCCAGCTGGTCGGCAACCGTTACCGTGATCTAATCGACTCAGCCGACTCAATCGTTGCCATGAAGTCGTCTTGCGAGTCCATCTCCGCCAACATTTCCGCCATTCACAATGCCATTCTCCACTCTCTCTCCTCTCCTGACACTGCCCCACGAGCCTCCTCCTTTGACCCTGCTCGAGCCCCTGCTTATGGAATGGCTTGCAGGGTAAAGTATCTTGTCGACACCCCGGAAAACATTTGGGGCTGCCTCGATGAATCAATGTTCCTCGAGTCCTCTGCCCGTTACATTCGGGCAAAGCTCGTGCACTCCAATCTGCTAGCCTCTAAGGATAGCAAGAACGTGCTCTCCAGTTTCCCTCTTCTTCAGCACCAGTGGCAGATAGTCGAGGGTTTCAAGGCCCAGATCTCGCAGAGGAGTCGAGAGCGGCTTTTGGATCAATCGATTGGTCACGGGATAAGCGCGTATGCAGATGCCTTGGCTGCTGTAGCCATCACGGACGAGCTCGAGCCGAAGCAGGTCTTGACTCTGTTCGTAGACTCGAGAAAATCGATCATTTGGCAGAAGCTTAGCGCGTGTGGCCGTGATGATGGTGCGGGTAGTTCTGGAGTGATCTCCACCTTGTGTGATATCATGAAGATAATTCAGATCACGGTTTGTCAGGTGGGGGAATTGTTCCTGCAGGTACTGAATGATATGCCTTTGTTCTATAAGACCATTCTGGATACTCCCCCGGCTTCACAGTTATTCGGTGGCGTACCTAACCCGGATGAGGAGGTGAAGCTGTGGAATTTGTTTAAGGAGAAGCTGGAGTCTGACATGGTGTTGCTGGGCAGGGATTTTATTTCAGGGACTTGTTCTGACTGGCTTAGGAACTGTGGCAAGGAGATTACTAGCAAGATCGGTGGAAGGCACTTGATAGATGTGGTCACGAGTGGCTCGGAGCTTTCTTTGGCCGAGAAGTTGATAAGGGAGACCATGGACAGCAAACAGGTCTTGGAAGGTAGCTTGGAGTGGCTGAAGAGTGTTTTCGGTTCCGAGATTGAGCTGCCGTGGAAAAGGACTCGAGAGCTTGTGCTGGGTGAGGACTCCGATATATGGGACGATATCTTTGAGGATGTTTTTGCTCAGAGGATGAAGGGGATTATAGATACGCAATTTGACGAGTTGCGGAGAGTTGTTGATGTGGCGGATTCAGTCCGATCAATAGCAAAACCTCTTGCGGATCTTGCTGGTTCTGAAGATTACCTGAATAGATTTCAAAGTAGTGGTGGGGTTTGGTTCGTGAATCCCAATGGGAAGAAGCTAGGTTCTATTCCTGGAACGAAATTGCACCAGCCTCAAGAAAATGATTTTGCGAGCTGTATCAGCACTTATTTTGGCCCTGAAGTGAGCCGGATAAAAGATGCCGTGGATATTTGTTGTCATAATGTTCTTAAGGATCTCCTCAGTTTCATGGAATCACCAAACGCGCTACGTAGGCTGAGGGATTTGGCGCCGTATGTACAAAACAAGTGTAGTGAAAGTCTGTCGGCCATCTTAAAACAGCTCAAGAATGAACTCGACAGCCTATACTGTGATCTAGAAAATGAGAATGAAGATGAAAAGTCTTCACTTTCTTCTGCTATACTCGTTGAGCGATCATTATTTGTCGGGAGACTTCTCTTTGCATTTCAGAAGCACGCTAGACATATACCCATAATACTTGGTTCCCCGAGGTCATGGGTGAGTGAAGTTTCTGGTGCTGCTACTTCATCCCTGATTGGCTTGAAAAATGCTAGGGTGGCCAGTGACTCGAAAATGATTGATGGTCATGGGAGAAGAATGCTTGATTCCAGCACGAAACAGGCTTCACTAGTGACTGGTGCGCTATTCGGAGCGGATGACAAGTTGAGCCCACATCTTGAAGAATTAAGGCAGACAACCAAAGATCTTTGCATCAGAGCTTACAATCTGTGGATATCATGGGTTGCTAGTGAACTTTCAAATATTTTTTCAAGAAATCTGAAACGGGATGATGCCTTGTCTTCCACTGCTCCAGTCAGAGTAAGAATATTACTATTTATATAACTTGAATCCTTTTCTGCTGGTCTGCTAACCCCTTTACCCCCTTCCCATATGTATGATGAGATATTTTTTGTTATTCTTGTTCCTGGTTGTACTTTCTGATGATTACTGCTTGCATGCATGATGCATAACTTATATACCCAAGTGCAGCTACAACTCTTTAGTTGTACATCCTAGGAAATAACATAAAGTTAGATGACATTGTCTTTACTTGATGCCTGTGCAAACCAATGTTATCTTGCTTTGGCAGATTCAGGAACAATAAAAAGGTTTGTTGTCTCTAAAGTATCTTAAATTACTGGACAGGGTTGGGAGGAGACAGTGGTCAAGCAGCAAGAACAATCGAGTGATGGCCAGTCGGAGATGAAGATATCTCTTCCTTCAATGCCTTCTCTATACGTGACTTCATGTTTATTTTATGCATGTGAAGAGATTCACCGTGTTGGTGGGCATGTACTTGATGTAGCAATTCTGCAGAACTTTGCCAAAACGCTATTTGATAAGGTGCGTTCTGAACTTTTTTGGGGAACAATTCTGGATGTGACTTTATGTAGAAGGGTTTGGTTATAAGGGTCGAATTTTTTTGGTACGTAAGTGTTAGGACCGTGGACACACTATTTCGATGTCTGTGGATAACTTTTTCTTCACTATTTAACGTGTAGGGGATGAAACAATAATTAAGCATTTCCCGGCATTAACTTCTATTATATGCTCTTTAGGGGGCTGCAGCAGTTTTCAATGAATCTTTTTTTGACAAGTCATTGGATTGCTACTGAAACTATATGAGGTTCTCTTTTCATAATTGATGTTTGCTATTCGTAGATATCACAGACCACGCTTGGTCTCGTTTAGTGAAATTAATATCCTTTGTAGAAAATGGTGCCACATGAGGTTCGAACAAAGGATCCTAAGATAAGGATAGTGAGAGCTCAAATACTAATAAAAAGTGGGATGGATTGGATCTCCTTATCACTTTAGTTTCTCTTAAATCATTTGTTCGATGGGCGATCTGATATGTTGTCTTTTGTATTTCGAAAGAAACCTCTTGTTATATGTGGAGGTAATAGTTATTTCTTAGTTTTCCCACTTAAATAATGAATAAGGTCCAAAATGATTTTGGATCTACTGCTGAGCAATGTCACGTCTTGTATTAAAAAATTTTGGGAGACAAATTTTATGTATCAATCAATTGACTCATCTGTGTCATTCTGCAGTTTTACAAATATCACTTTCCTATTCAACAACTGTTATTCAGCCCCGACCTGAATACTTAAGGGTTATGCTTGTGTAGGTTCTTGGGATTTATGATGACTTCCTGTCAACTGAAGTTTTTAGGTCGCAAGTTTCAGAGAAAGGTGTTTTACAAGTGTTATTCGATTTGAAATTTGCTTCTGATATCCTGTCTGGGGGTGATTTTCATGCAAATAAGGATGCATTTGAAATCACAAGCGTGAAATCCCCTTATAGGAGGAAGCAGAAAGCACAGTCACAAAATTCGTTAATGGGACAACGCACTAAGGAGTTGGTGAATCTCCTTTCACAGAGGCTTGATCCCATAGATTGGCTCACGTAAGTTGTTAAACCAAGATATTGATCTTTCTTCTTTATAGATCCTGGTTTTCTTTGGGAAACAACATTTTGCATTTACACCGCCCGATAAAATTTTGGCTGACTATGGTTGAGGTTATGACCAGGTTCTCTTTGCCTTTTGATGTTTTAACTGTCATATACCATTACTACTATCAAACGAATGTAAATTTCAGAATAGAAGTTACGCAATAAAATCTATGCAGGTAAGATAATGTTGACAGCAGTCTTCATATAGGGACAACATTTTCTAGCATTCTAACGTCCTTCTATTTTTGGCTGCATATTGTGGTTTTGTGAGTTAGTCTTGGTGAGGTACTTTTGCATATGGTTTGAATTATAGTTGAATTCCTTAAATAAAACTCTGGTTTCAGCATTAATAATCATGAATAGAAAATGATATATAATTTTAAATTAGAAATAATCATCTTTGGTTCATCCCATTCAACATGGAAATATTTAGATTTTCATTGCAAGTCGCAACCCAGTGAATTTATGGATGGTTATGATGTAACAGTAGAATAAATCTGAGTCATCACTGGCAATTTGTAAGAGAACCTGCCCTCTGCAGTTGTTTCATGTTCATAAACACTTCTTTTTTATTTAAGTTTGAATATCAGTAGGCGTTCCTCTTTTTACCTGCAATCATGCTATTATCTAGATTCTAGTAGTACTTTGGGTCCTGAGCTACATTTTTTTTCCCCCAAACATGAATACCTTCTGCTGCCAAGTATATTGTGCTGTTATGTCCTTTTACTTATTCTTTTATTTATTTATTTATTTTTTTTAATCTTATGCATCCAAGGTATGAGCCATATCTTTGGGAGAACGAGAGACAGGCATACCTTAGGCATAGTGTCCTCTTTGGTTTCTTTGTGCAACTTAATAGAATACATACGGACTCTGTACAGAAGCTCCCCACTAACTCTGAATCAAACATCATGCGCTGTTCTGTAGTGCCTCGGTTCAAATACCTTCCCATCAGGTAGTAACCACTATCCTTCACGAGAAATATTTCTTAGCGTGTGTTTTAACTTTTAAGTTATCATATTTTTCACATTAATCCTAGTTCAATTGCATTATCCAAAGTGCTCCAGCATTATCCATAAGGAATGCAGCCAGAACATCCGTGTCGACATCCGTGGATGATGCTTACTCGAGAAATTCCTGGAAAAGTTACAAAAGTGACGAGGTGTCTCGAAGTTCTGATGTCGATGAGGACTCGAGTTTAGGGGTGGCCGCACCCTTTTTGAAGTCCTTTATGCAGGTATTGTATTGTTTTGTAATTCTGTTCTCATGTCAATGGAAACTTTCATCATATTTCTTCGTGTCATTTTTTAATGGAGTTCCATGCCATAATTCCCCATGAATCGAATAAATTATGCATTGAATATGGCTCTGGCCTGGCAATCTTGGCTCGATTTGTCTTATGATGGGAGACCAAACAATATGTAATCTCGTTTAATGAGAAATCTGATTTTATGTATGTGGACTTTTTTTTTTTGCCTTTAAAGAAATTAAATTGACCATAAATTTTATTCGCTAGATTTTAAACCTGTTATTGGACATCATTAGGTCGGTAGCAGATTTGGGGAGAGCACACTAAGGCTGGGGTCGATATTAACGGATGGGCAAGTTGGAAGATTTGGGGATATATTACCTGCTCAGGCAGCTGGACTTCTTTCATCATTAACTGCTGCTAGAACAGATTCTTGACCGGCACACTTTACCACTGCCCATCAAAACAGTGGGGCTTATTTTTCCATATTGTTCATGCTTTGAGGCATGAACATCGTAAATTCACGGGATTGAGCAGAGCAGCTGTTTTGGTAATTATCTATGACAAATCCATGAATGTCATTTATTTCTTGGATGAAAATAGAAATAAATCTTGAACTACAAAGAAAAGTAGCTATCTTTCAAATTTATAGTTTTACGCTAGATGTTTACGTTATGTGGGGTTATTTGTTATTTCAATGTGACAGTTGAAAGTTGGTTCTCTTTCTTTTCTTTAGTCAGATTACTCATATGCACTTAAACTCTTAAAAAAGAATTGCTTTGCTTGAAAAACTGTTATTGCCCTGGGATAAATTCTGACCTTTTTATTTATCTAGTTTTCGGTTTTGCAGTGTTTTCAGATTTGAGTAAATTGCCTACACCTTTGTTGCTGTATATCACGTGTTGGGAAATCTAAGCACGAGAGGGAAAAAGCTGAACGAGTTCCTAAGCTGATTTTAAGCCACAATTTNATTATATAAAGCGCCTTGAAGAAATCTTGTCATGCTGATGCTGAGGCACGAGTATATTATATACATAGTAATTTTGAAAGCGCGACTTGTTTAATGATTTTCACAGAGTATTATTATCATTTTTAAGTATGGACATACATTATCAACGTGTTCAAGCTAAAATGTATTCTGCCTCCTGTAAGATGTGTGCTATATTTTTCCTTCATTTAATGTTTTCAATCTTTCCCAGTATATTTTGGCCTGTGGATCTAATCCAAATAAGCTAGATATATTTGAAAAGATGAAGAGATTATGAGAGGTAACCTCGAATACTGCGAGTTGGGCAGGTATTGTGTTATTTTGTGTTTTGTGTAATCGTTTGGAGCAAAAAAAAAAAATGTCGGAATGCTGTTATGGATATTTAACATTTAGGATTTATGTTTTGTGATTGTTCTATGCAAAGTTCGGAATGGCTAATAATTAGGAAATGCCAGTGCGACTCGTTCATTTCAACTGAGAAAATTGTAAATTTGATCCCAAAACTTTTGTTGTTTCCCACATTTGGTTCCAGACACTTTAATTATGGTCTTTTTTGAATTTTCGTTGCCAAAATGGTTCCACGTCCGTCAAGATTGACGGGGCTCATGTGAGGACGTTAGATTGGACCAATTTTGCATTTTTTTTTTTTTTAAAAAAAATAAGTTCTTCAAGTTCTTCAAGTCTCTCTCATTCACTCGAAGCTGACATAATAAAATTAATTTACTATGAATATGATGCGAGAAATAAATATTAAAAATAATTTTATAAAAATAAATATCGGGTGGAAAAGTAAAGGCGTTGATAAATTTTAATTTTGGGTGGAAAAGTAAAAGATATAATTGCTAATTGTGTGGTATTTATTTTATTTTCTAATATTATTACCGTCATTACTTAAAAAATATTGGCAATTATTTGAATATTATTTAAATTAAAGAATATTTAGAAATAATATTATTTTAATTAAATAAAGCAAACCAAAAGACATAATTCAATTTATCAAAACAAGAAAAAATGTGAGTATGCTTACAATAATACTAATCCGTCTAAACTTTTAAATATTAGTATAATGTGATAATTTATATATATCCTTACAAACTTTATTAAATAATACGAATTAAAAAAACCCAATCTAAATATTTTTTTATTACTGTCTAGTTTTATTTTAATAATTTTTTATTTATCAATTTGATTTTACAACTACAAATTGAAAAATCTATTTATTTATGCAAATTACATCTACATAAAAAATTTCAATTTTAAGCATAATAAAACAAAATTTGGCATTAAAATAAGTGAAAATAGACATTTGCTCTCACTTATTTATAGTAAATTATAGCATATATTTTTTTTGCATCTCATTTATCATGAACTAATTAATAAAATTATTTTATACATATTTTGTTAAGTTACCCAATTAAATAATCATTTTATGTAAAAAAATCAAGTTAAAGTTTAATTTAAGTTAAAAAAAAATGTGAAAGAATTGTATGTTAGTTATATTTATCTTTTATAATTTATTAAAAAATAAACTAAATGTATTGTTAGGAAATAATGGTAATATACCTTTTTAATATTTACTAAAAACTTTTTAAGAAAATGTTTCTAATAAAAATAAATTTAAATAATTTTTATCACTTACTCTTCGAGAAAATTACAAATTTGGTCCCAAAACATTTGTTGTTTCCCACATTTGGTCCCAGGTTATAAACGCTGACCGTTAAGTCTTGGCAACGAAAATTAAAAAAGGACCATAATTGGCGTACCTGGGACCAAATGTGGAAAACAACAAAAATTCTGGTACCAAATTTATAATTTTCTCACTTCAACTTTTGTACTATAACTTGGGAATATTTTAGACCAGATGTTTAAACTTAGTTGGCTTAATTTTGTGGCTACTTGATTTTCTTAATTTTGTACGAACTTGTTAACTTATAACCTGAAGGAGCTTTTTGATGAAAATGTGGTGGCCCAAATCTTGAAGCTCAGACAGCTTGACCCCACAAAAAAAGACAGATGGAGTTGGAATTTGGAACTGAGGTTTATTTTCTGTTAAATCCGCATATTCTGCTTTTATTAAACATAAACTGATGATGTTAGACAAATCAGAGGGAGGTGATTCTGCCACTAAGGATAAAAAGAGATGTTGGCAGCTGGATATTAAAGGAAAAATTAAACACAAATACTTTGTGTGGAAGTATTTCACAGGTACTTTACCGGTTGCAGACACTCTTATGAAGCGTGGAATTGAAGTGGATGAATTTTACAAATGTTGTGGTGAAGAGAGGGAAAGTACTGTGCATACTCTGTTTCATTGTGCTAGAGCATCCTAGGTCTAGAATATTTCTGCATTGGATTGGGATTTTTGTGGCCAGAAAACAGGGGACTTCAATGATTGGTGGTGGAGGATCTCAGAGCTCAACAAAGCAGATATCTCGGAATCCCGTATCCAACTTTCCAGTTATATCCTTTGGTGGATGTGGAAGGCTCGAAACTTGTGGGTTTTTCGAAATGAATGGCTGCCTGCGAAAATGATCGTGGACAATGCTTGGCGGGAGTGGATCGAATTCAAAAATCGCAAGCTTTCAAAGAACTAAAATTGGAAGCGCAATTGTTGATTAGGTCCTTGGGTTCAGTTCAACAATCTCTTCTAGCTTATCTGTTTTTCAAGTTTTGTTTGGACTAGGATGAAGGTGCTCGAGTGATTTCACTTTGCATGTCATCCAGGTTAGTTTTATTATGTAGTTTCTAGGACACTGATTGCAAGTGTACCTCCATGCTAGTGATGTAGTCGGATTAGTGAATCCGCTGTATTGTACTCGTTCAAATTAAAATTATATAATAATAACAACAAAAATTATTTTAATTTTTAAATACTTTTTAAAAATATAGTATTATTTATATTTAAATTGACACTATCACTTACACGACTACCATTTTATATTATATATATATATATTTTAATTTATATCAGATAACTACTTTGTAGTGAACTTAGTTTAAATAATAATATTTTTTGAATTAATATTAATAGATAGTTTAATTTTAATTATAAATATAAATAAAATTATTTAATTATTTTATACGCATAACATAGATGTCAAATCAAAGTTCATCAAGACATGATTAATTTAATATATTATATATAAAAATTTAATATATATGTATAAAAGTTTGATATATTAATCATTTTGATCGTAACATTCAATTTGGAAAAATGAGAGATTCCAAAATAAATTTTAGGTCTATATTAATCATATAAACAACAATAAGTAAGCTTACAGAACAAATTAAGGGTTATATTAGTCAAAGTATTATGGAATTACCCAAATTAGCTTTTCAATATTTATGGAATGTCTAAACCTAAAATTATTGATTTAGAATAACATTATTTATTATCCAAACCAAATAATAAAGCATGATTTTTCGCCAAGTAGGATTTCGAAGCGCGAGAACCTGTCACTTAGGATTGACTGATAAGAAAAAACTAGATGCTACATGTAAGGGCACGTACTCACATGGGTTTGTGTGTGAAAGTGCGTAGATCAAGGGTGAATAAGCAATTAAGCATGTGAGGATAGGCCCAACATGTACCATTGAATTTGCCATTGGCCAATTTACAAGTATCCTATAACATTTACAAATAATTACAAACCTACGATTAAGAGTAAATAATTAGCAACCCAACGAATTGACTGTCAACTATTTGTGAATATACGATCTTATTTGTTACCAAATCAAGACGGTTTCTGTTCAGTTTTTGTGGAATTCGTGATCAACAAAAAAAGGAAAAATAAAAACAGATTCTGTCTTGAGCATTCCGTTTTTCATGGACAGAACAAATAAATCTTCAAATCTGGCATAAGAAATCATCGCCGATTTAGAATAGAACCATTTTCAAAAATTTAAAAGGTAAAAAATTTTCAGATCTCGCATAACAAAACATCGAGGATTAAGAATGTAAACATATTTCAAAATTTAATCATTCATCACAGTGGTGAGTGGAATAAGAAGACATGGTAGTAGACGCTGCATATACTGAACATAAATTGAACATATACCCGACTGATGATAAAATTGTTTCGCATTATGTTTTGACCTCTAGAATTTCCCATATACGCCGCATATACTGAACATATATGCCGCATATACTGAACATAAACTAAACATAAACTGAACATATACCCGATTGAGAAATCCCCGCTAGAACAGATACCCATATTTGCTCATCCTCGAATTCATCGATCAAACTTTCTTCCGAGTCATCTCCTGCGGTTTGGGTTTCATCTTCATCGAGATAATCTGAATCCTCCGTCTCTTCTCCTTCAGCCGCATTGGGGATCTTTCTTTTTGGATGTCTCTGGGCTTGTTTCGATCGAAATTCTCTATGGTCCGACTGAAAGTTGTTGGAATCGGGGTTGGAGTTCTTGGTTTTAGCCATGAAATTTGGTCTTAGGTTTGAAGCTGCGTTGAGGGAGGCGTCTGTTCCAAACGTGGGAGAGAGATGATTAATTAGGCGTTTGTTTCAAACATTCTCGTAAATTCACAAATAAAATTACATTGGATGTTAATTTTGCAACAATTTTTTTTTGATAGTAAGTGTGTAAATAAAATGGTGAGGTGTCGTGCTCCGCATAATTTCCTCTTTGCCATTCATAAGAAGCATTTTTGGGCCCTCTGAAATTTGCACTGTTTAGTAAATAGATGATAATGTTCCATTAAAAAACTAATCATTGCCAATCAACATTTGTAAAAGAGGCCTATATAATCAAAATAAGAAAACAAGGAGTTGACGGATAGTGGAAATAAATAATCAAAATATAAATAGTGAAAATAATTGAGTATGTAAAAATAAAAAAAAAAAAAAGTATGAAGAACTAATATATTAGTATATGATCTAGATAATAATATTAAGCAAAACATAAATTGTTAATTAGCTTGTTTTATTTCTCAAACGTTACTTATTTATAAACGAAATGAAATACTTTATATTATCTTTCTATATGAACATCTATCAATATGTGGTGTGATATTTTTTTTTTATTTGTATGTGGTATGGTATCTTTGCCAAACAATAATGCTGCATAAAACTTTAAAAGAGTCATATTTTTTTAATACATATAAATATTTTATATCGAAATATCATATTTGAATAATGAATAAAAATAAAAATATGATTGTCTAAGTAGTCCTTTTTTTTTTAATAAATATAAATATTTCATACAAAATTATTATATTTTTATAAACTCAAGTATGAGTCGGGCCTTGAATGCTTTTAGCCCAAATAAAACACATCATATGATAGCAGTCGGGCCTAAATTCTTGTAGCCCATTAACTTCTTTGTGTGCCGAGACACATCTCTTACCGAAGCAGGTCGAGGAGAAAGAAGGTGAAGCTTGTTGAAGGTCCCAAATTCTAGAATCTCTTTCCCTGCGCGTTTTTGTTGCAGTCTTGCAGAGCTTAAATGCCATTTGCGCCTAATATTCACACTTTCCATTGACTTGCTTCCAGTTTTCCGCAGCCATTGCGTGTTCATGCTTCCACATATTCAGTGGCGACAACATGCTCGATCAAATGCTTCTACGAAATTGATGAACTTTCAAGTATCCAAAGTTAGTAAGTGGAGATTACGTAAAAAAAAAGTCTATTAATTGGTGTTTGAGTTGATTTCTAATCGAGGAGCCGGAATGAAGCTGAGAGTGGCGTGCCGGAAAATCTACGATTATGTTCGCTATGATCTGAAAGAGATTGCATTCCCTTCTTCTTTGCCTGATCCTCCACACATCAAAAAGCGTCAGGAACTCACATGGAAAGAACGGTACCTTGTAAGTTCTCTTTCGGTGGGGTTGGTGTTGAATCATATTCTAGAACAAATTCCTAATATGTAGTGATAATAGGCATGGTTTCATTGATTTGCTTTGGAATGATATGTTAATGCGTATTTCATGAAAATTTTTTAGTGTAGGTGATGTTGAATTTCATATTAGAAAGTCTCTCCTTGCATATTTACCCACTCTTACTTGGTTTCCTAGAATAATAAAATGTCTATTTGTGATGAACTCCACAGTGCTCGCGGATTTAGATGCTACTATATGATCTGAACTTTGTTAATAGGTGTTGAAGGAAGCATCTAGACTCTATGCTGCTAGCTGGGTGAGGGATATTGGTCCAGAGCTTAGGCCGAACGATTACAAGAGTAAAGCAGAGAGTGAAGATAAACCTAATGGGGAAAAAGGGGCGCCGGCAGAGAGGGAGCCATCCACACTCGAGGATCTTGGTAAGGAACTTTGCGCGTTGTATTGAATTCTCCTTACTTTTTTAGCAAGATGTTTGCCATACCATGTCCTGGATTTACACGTATATTTCATTCAGTCATCTGTTTTGAATACGATTAACTTATGACTTCAGTTTTATATCTTGATTCTTTTGATTAGATGTTGACTTGAGGCTGTGAAGAGATTTTTTTTAAAAGTATCATTTCTCTTTTCTTTTTCTGTCGCCATTCTGTTTTCGGCAGCGTCACGATTTTTGTGTGCTGTGTGAACGAGTGTTTAGCTGATTGGTTGGGCTGTATTGCTTTATTCTTGTCATCAAACTCGGTAGGCAATAAAATAAAATATAAGTATAAAAAAAAGTAGAAGTTCTGCTTTTTTCGCATATGATGGACTGTTGTGATTCTTAATGTGATTCTTTAAATGTAATGTAAAAGCTGTGGCTGCCAAGGGAGGTATGGAGACGTTAAGGCCTGCTCTGCAGCGGGTTTACATGACCAGAGCCTCTGCTTATAGAGATGCTCTCAGGAGTTTCATAGAAGGTTATCAAGAAGGCATACAAAAGGTAATGGAGAAGAAGAAAGAAGATTCCAAAACTCAGCAAGGACCGAACGATCATAAAACGTAAAACTTTTATTTTTCCAAAGAAAGCAGTATGGTGAGTCCTTTCACCTCATCTTTGTTTTTTGTAAAAATGATTGGATCTACTATTGAATGACTTTAATTTTGAAGGACCAATATCTTATTTACCTTTCATAATTATAACTCAGCAGACACCGTTACATGTTTGTTCTGCCTAAGTGGTTGAGACAATTGCGAAGTTGGGTGTTCTTGAGTATTCATATTTTTCTCAAAACTCAGGGCTTCGGGTCCTTTTATCTTGTCCCATCAAATTAGTCTCTTTCCAGCTTCTGATTTAATCCTTTCAATGAACATACATGTTCACTATCAAGAACAAAATCTACTGTTTATTTTCCAATTTGAGATGGTCTCTTTGATTGGCGTCTCCATTATGTGAGTGGGGTTCTGAATTCTAATTTCTCGTTGGCTAACTATACAAATATAATAATGGAAATGTCTCCCGGTCTTTCCATTTATAAACTTTTGATGTTACCTAATTTTAGTTTCTTTAAGGCACAGTTGAAATACTAGTTTAGGAAAATCACATGGAAGCACTTGAATAGCTCTTCAGTGGTGTGAGGTTTAATGCACCAAAGCTAGTGAAGTCATAAAAATATGTGTGTGTTTTGTGGGGGGGCCTCCACTTGGAAAGCACCAAACATCAGTATACAAAACATGTCATTCTGGCTTACTATTCATTAGGCACTGCTTTTTTTCCTTAGTATTTATGGTTTTTTTTCCCATTGTCAGATTTGAGTCACTCAACTTGTTTGTACCACTTAACTATACCTAATCAACTCTTAGTAATGGGTGTGTAAGAAAATGAAAGTTTGCTTAGTTGCAAAACATGGTCCTGTAACTAACCACAAGTGGCTGGCGATTTTGGGGAAAGTAGCTATCTGGTCCCTGGAGTTTTTACACACTTGTCGTTTGGTCCCGTAGTTTGAATTCCATGCAATGCTGATCCATACATGTGCTTTCAACATCTTACTTTTCCTAAAATGCCCTTAAGTGTGGAAATACTCGAAACAACTCATATGGAAGTTGAAAGATTGAACCTGATGTTTCGAGAAAGGGCAAACATCAGGACGTTGAATGACTGAAACTGCCAGGATCCAAAAGCTGCTACGAGACTAGAATTGCGATTCAGCTTATAAAAGTAGCTTGAACCGTGCGAGTTTTTTTACTGATTATTGTTTTGATTTATCGAGATATAGCATTTAGCTTTCATTCTGATTTTTCTTATGATGAACATAGCTACTGCGAAATGTTGTTGCATGCTATGTGCTTACATTCACCGGTCGATTGCAATTTGTCATTTGATTATTTCCTTGAAATTATTGTAAGGTTTTATTTGGATTATATCCTTGTAACATATTTTCCAATTTAGTGACTCACATGGTTCAAATGGTTTGCCATTTTAAGTTTTTTGTATTATTTGGTTGGTAACAATTTAATTCATGAGTTAATCCATAAGGTGAAATTAATTTCTAAAGAGGACCTCCTGTCAACCTGGTTGGATGCAACACTGGTCCCCAAAAATTAGACCCTAGAGAATTAAATAAATTAGAACTATTATTAAACAAATGAATAAAAAAAAACTCGAAAGCTAAAACATACACCAACAAAATCTCCCCTTTTTTATTTTTTATTTTTTCTTTTCTCAAAACTGCTGAAGTTTTGAAAAATCATTAAATTTAGTTAGAACAAACGAACTAGATTAGATATAATGTAATGATTTATTTTTCCATTTTCCATTCTTCTTTTGCAAAATAAATTATATTCCTCAACATATACAGTTTCCAGGCTTTTATTCCCCTTGCTGGTTTATCCTATTAATCGTCCACCTGCATTTCACCTGCTTCATATTTATTAAGGTTGAAAGGCATTTCCACCCAATTCAATTATACTTTTTTCATGTGCGCAATATTAGATGTTAGCCGTAAGAATTTGTAAACCACTTGTCAGCACCTTTTATCATTTCCTTCACAATTTCCATAACTATTAATTAAAATCGTCGGACCACAAGCCTATCTTGCGTAGCTGTATAAGGTTGATTTTTTGTAGCCAAGTTTTTAGAATTTTGAAGATCAAAATACACCTTACTAATTACTCCCTTCATTTTGAAATATAAGGCATTTAAGGTTATTAAATATAAGGCATTTAAGGTTAATGCACAAATATTAAGGAGACATTAATTAATGAATAAATTGACTAAATTAACCTTATTTACTCTAATCACAATCATTCCACACTTCCTTAATTTCAACACAATGAGGGTATATTTGAAAAAAAATACAAAAATTTGTCTTAATTTTTGAGCGCGTCTTATATTTCAAAAAAATTGAGAAATCTTTATACGCCTTATATTTCAAAATGGAGGGAGTATATTATTTGTAATATTACTCGACCAATCCATTGCAAGAAAAATATGTGTAGTACGTAGTTAATAAAAGAGGGGATTGACAATTGTCCCATCAAAGAAAGAGTAAAATGGAAGTCTCTATCTACCCCTTACATTCCCAATGTAATTTGCAATCAAAATTAATGGTGGAGATGAAGATGATGAAAGGCCTTCTGAAAAATCTTTTATAAAGAAGGCAGAGAGAATCACTACAGTAACAAAAATTGTAACATGGTTTTTGTACAATGTTAGGCAGATTCTTTGATTGCAACCATCATATCCATATTCTCCTCCAACCTAGACTAGACATGCATATATGGGACCCTCTCTCTCTACAATTGTGGGACCCACACAAAAACCTGCAGTCTCTTTCTATCTTAATTAACTTTCCCAAATGGGTTCTTCACTTGAGTTGAGTGAGGGGCTGCTATCTGCTGCTCTGGTGCATGCATGCTCCAACTCTAGAGAGAGAGAATTTGTCCAGGAAATATGGGATGGCTGACCATTTTTTTTTTCTTTTTGATTTTGTTAATAAGCAAAAGATAAACATNTATCCTTGCCGATATACATCTGCTCCTGAGAAACTGATATCCTGCATTTTTCAACCATACAAAAAAAAAAAATAGTAGTTTAGTCAATTATTAGAAAAGGTGACATGATAGTGTTTTTGATAAGCATGCAGGAAAAAAAATGGCCATCCCGCCATATGTGCGCAAGTGGACCATATAACTTTATCTTTCTATTTAATTGATGCATGGTCAAAACTTATAAGCTTTTTGTGATGAAAATATTAAATAAAAATCAATGTATTTTGTGCTTTCGGCATAAAAAATGGTGTTGTGGAACTTGGAAGGACTAACCCAAATAAGATTTTTACGATTTTTGGCATATAATTAGAAGTGTACTTGACAGGGACAATATATCATTATCAGGTGCTAATACATTTATTCTTAGCATTATGTTCGTAATTAAACAGTTCTACCGACATACTTCATTATGTATATGTATATAATTTTACTAAAAAATATCATACTTGAAAAAGGTATCATAAACAGAAATAAACATTTGATAGATAACTTTTAATTAATGATTGGACGGTCAGCAATACAAAATATTCTGTATAATAAAAATGTGAGATAAACTTAGAGAACACGATTGTCCAATATGAACATAATAAAATTGAATTGTAAGCCCAACGTGAGGCAATGACTAGGATGACAATTACGTTTCTCTTTTTCCCCAGTTAAACAGTTAATGAAATGATTTTAAATTAAACAAAAAAAAAAAAAAGGTATTGAAATTTTTGTAACCCACAGACAAAACTTGAATTCAAGATTGATTTGATGTTGCCTTAAGGGCACCCCGAGTCAGCTCCTAACTCATAAATATATTCAAATTAAATTACAAAAAGCAATGAATTGGCTTTTTTCTCTTTCTTGAACTTGTTAAAATAATAGGTACGACCTACCAAACCAACTCGAAAAGTTCTCATGATTTTAATCAATTAAATATAATCAATAGCCTTTTTTATTTATATAATAATAACTAATTAAAGTAAAAGGACTGGGAATCCAAAAATATCTTGTGAATTTTCAAAGGCTGGGCCTAATTTTCCACCATTTGCCAGCGTGGACCACAGACCAAGCAGTGAAGACAATTCTACAGAATCACGCATATGATAAATACACACTCCAAACAGTCCCAGATTTAGCAATCACTTATAAATGCATTCCAATACAGTTTCCCATTTTCACACGGTTCCTCAACATATTATATCTTACAAATTTATTTACAAGTGAGTTGATCCATCATTTTTTTTTCAAAAATATAATAAAATTATATATTATTGAAAAAATATAGCTGAACCACTGCAGTTTTAATTTATATATACAACAATGCATTTTTTCATTTTGTTTTATTTATTATTATTTGTTATTACTACTATTATTATAAGCACTATCGAGAAATGGGAAAAACCAAGAAAATGCAATTTACCAAAAAGCAGCAAACAATATCTATAGTGACTGACTGACTGTGTGATGTTTATATTAGCTTTCCATAAATGACTATTACTTGTTCAACTCGACTAGCTTATAACACTGGATTTGCGAGTTCAATTGAATATTTCAATCTAATCTACACTTATCTAAAAGTCATGTCCAGAAACTACAGTAACTAACATCATGCTTATTTGCTTCATTTGGGGAAACAGCAAAATCACACAACATATTGGAAATTGAAGCACAGAAAATTAAAAGATTGTGATGGTGTTTGGTGGTGTTACCATGTGATTAGAGTAGTAATACTGAGAATGGTGATATGGGCTGTGGTGGTACTGTTGGGCTTGGGCCAGGCCAGACATGGGCGAGCCCACTGGGGTTGATGGGTCGGAGTCCTCGGCCTGCTGCTGGCACTCCAAATTCACTCCGAACAACCTCAGCATCTTGGAGTTTCCACTTGATGAACTTGTTTGGCTTTGTTGTACAACTCTTCCTGTGATAAACAACACGTTTAATTTAATTTGCATGAGGATTATTCATTATTTCTCGATTGGGATCAACCATAAATGCACCCACCTACGTGTCACACACATATGGACTACACATTATTTTTTATAGTACATGATGTACTACAGTAATATAACTTTGGCGGTGGAAGAGTCTTAACCAAGCAAATTTTATAATTTATGAAATCACTCATTTCTTAATTAAAAAAAAAAATACTAAATACCTGAAATTTTATAATTTATGAAGTTTCTGTGTCATTGCATTTTACCGCAAACATCAAAATAAAAAATAAAAATAAAAATGTAGGACTAAGAAAAATGTGATAACATGTTCTCTAGCCTAGTAAGGGGGAATGCGGCCCACGCGCGCATTATGCGCGTTTTTACAGAACACGAGATATTCACGCAAATTTCACAGCAGACGAGACAGAAATGTATGACTGATACTGCACACAACAGTAAAATCGATCGGCCAAACAATTCTTTTTAGTATTAAACAAATTGAACAGTGTTAGAAAATACGTCACCTGCGTGAACGGAATCGGGCTGGTACGCAACCGACGCCGGTCCGACCTGAACGTACTGACCCGGGTAAACGACCCGGTTCCACCCGGCGGACGGCTGGTGCGCGTCCCCGCCGTCGGCGGCGGTCCTCCTCCGCCATCCGATGAAGAGGCGTCCGGCGTCGACGCGGTGGCGCGCAAAAACGACGACGTCGCCGGCGTCGAGGCGCTTCTCCTTCACGAATCGGCTCCATCCCTTAGTCAGCACGTAGCTCTGGCTACTATTCCAATAGGAGTATCTGAACCGCCACGACTTGCCGGCCTCGTCCTCGAACCCGAGCAGCAGCCCGTTCTCGCCGGAATCTCCTCCGCCGCCGCCGCCGAGGGGGAAGTGCTTCTCGGCGTGCTGCTTCGGGATCACGAGCCGGTTCAGCTTCCCGACGTCGCTCGGCGTGAGAGGCTTCTCGAAGAGGCGCTCCTTGGGGATCTCCTCCGCCGCACAGCCGCCGTCGTCGTCGTCGTTGAGGTCGAGGCCGCGGCCGGCGGCGGCGGCGGTGGCGGAGTAGTAGAGGTGGTTGTGGTCGGGGTGGGTCCACCACTGGGGGTGGGAGAGGTCCGTTGGGTAGTGGTTTATCGAGGACGACATTATTTTGTTTTTCTGCTTAAGAAATTCAAAATGGAAAATTCAATTGAACTGAATTGTTTTGAAAGTATAATATTTGATGGAAGGTATGGCAGTGCAACCTAGTAAGTGTAGAGAGAGAAAGTAAAGGTATGGAATGGATGAAGGGTAGATACAGCAAAGCAAGTGTGTTTGGGAGAGGTGTATATATAATGGCGATACGTGTTTTGATTTTATGTAATAATGAAAATAATAATAATAATAATTATTATATTATAATAATAAAAGTAGGGGGAAGAGTAGTAGTAGTAGTAGTTTTAAGGTTATTGCGTGAGGGAGTTGGAGAAAAATCAATCATTATAATCAGTGCACCCCACTGTTTAACTTTTCAACCCAACACGGAAATTTTTATTATTACACAATTTTTTACAGGAATAGGTCTAATCGTCACATCTTTCATATCATACATTTTTAAAATGTATAGTTGTATATTATAATATGCCATTTTTCATTAATAACACTTTTATGAGAAATTATCACATTTCATTTATACATATTTATTGAAAAAATATAGATGCCTAACCTAGCAAGTAGGATTGTCTAACAATAATTTTTTTTTTAGAAGTCCGGTATATATATCATAAATTGATTCATTGTAAAGTTTTTTACGTATAAGTTATATTTATGCAGTGTCGATTTGTCACATTCTTAACAAAATCAAATTTATGTACTAGTATGATAATTTTATTTAATTTATATTCTAGAACTTAACATTTCAGTAGAAAATAAACACAATCATAGGTAATTTGAGGAATAAAAAAAATCAGGTCCGAAGCTATTTAGAAAATCAATAAACACATCTTTGATCCATCAAACTCTCAATATTTCTATACCGTGCCTTATTCATATATATCCATTATTAATATAAATAGAAAAGTTTTTCGAATACAATTTAAATAGAAAGTCTGAAATTTTGGGGAAATAAAGTTTAGGAAATGAAATTGTACAAGTTTGAATATATCCCTGTTGCAAATAGTCTTGTGCAAATGTAGATTGTGGGCAAACAGGTGACATGAAGATACAATAATATTTGGTTATGGGAGTGAAATAATAGTAATAAGTATTAACGTTTAAGACTATTCAATTTGCTTTTAGGAAATAGGAGCACTTGCCATGTTACTGTGTTGGCTAACAGATCAAGTGGTGGGGTTGTCCTTTGGTACTACCTAACTATTTTCTAAACTAATTCGTACATTTCTTTTTCACTTCCGTTCTACACTACTTTTCTAGATTTGGCATTGGCTTTTCTTACTAGGTGAAGAACAACAAAAATTATTGACAATTTCTTTAGTTTCAATTCCCATCTATTTGTTGAAATGGCCTTCTCATTCAAGGATGTATGGAAAAGTAATAAGATAACAATATTTCTTTTACACACACAAATATATAATATTTTGAATAGTATTATGATATTTTAATGTTGGAGAAATATAACTTAGCTATTAAAAAAAATTGGACTCATATTAGATTCCTACATGTTGGATATTGAAAAAATCAGTTATAAAACTTGGGTTTGACCAGATTTTAACTGAATCTTTTATAACAACAACAACATACCCAGTATATTCCCAACAGGTTGGGGTCTGGGGGGTCAGTTGTACGCAGAATTTACCTTTGTAATTATACAAGGAGGTAAATATTTATGGCTAAATATTTAATTCGGGCTAAATCAAATTGTGTTGAAAAATTCTACGTTCCGAGTAGATACTCGTGGTATATTTATTTTCTCAAAGCTGACTATGGTGAGAGATAAATGATAAAATTTAGCCATAAATGGACACACAAAAGGGTCAAAAGTCCTTCCCACATTGGACAGTTAATTGAGATTAACTTTCTTTATTATAATAAAGAGTGTTGAAGAAGTTACAGCAACAACAGACTATGCACCAAGTATTAGTGTTTGCTTCGATCACATATGTGCGCGCCCGCTCGCGACCGCCTAAGTTTGGTTCGGGCCTAGGCTTGGTACTTAGGCCTTGGGCCTTCGGACTTGGTACTTAGTACTTGGTCATTGGACTGTGGGCTGGACTTGGCGGCCTAGGTCGATCTTGGACTTGGTTGGACTTGGACTTGAGTATTGACCCAACTCTTGGGAGACTTTCCAGGGACATCGAACCTAGACGTGTGTCCTTTCACCTGTCCACCTGACTGTTTCAGTGGTTATTAGGTGGAATGAAAATGAGTTAACAGCTGAGAAACTGCTCAACTACAACAACCATAAGTGGACTGTTACAAGCTGAATAGTTATCTCCTACATGGATGGAAGTCCTAAAAAATAGGACAATGTAGAATTTGCAGAAGGTATAAGAACATCATCTACATTTGCACTCTCCAGAAAAAGCCTCACGCATCATAACATACAGTGCTCTATTTTCTCCTCCTTTCAAGTTCGCCGGAGCTCAGAAATCTTAAGTGGTACAGATTCTAAGATGTAGTCGTTGTATTTTTTGGGGACAAGATGCCTGAATCCGTCAGCACACTACGAGGCGTATTCGTCTTGCAGAAAGAGCAATCCTTGCCTCTGCTGATTCTCTTTTTGCATCTACAATTTGTGTTTTGCTATTTCTTTTAGTTTAAGTTGTATGAACTGAAAACTAAAATGTTCATAGGTATCCCGTTGTAATGAAAAAAATATTTGTAATAATCGCAAGATAAATATTGTACCTACTGAACTGATGGCATCCACCGAAGAAGGTTCGCAAGCTCGACAAACATAATAGCAGCAGCAGCTGATCTGTTAGTGTTATATACTGAAAGCTTGGCTTTGCATGTTATTACACATTTACCCTTTATGAATGAGAATCATGTTAGATTAAACAAGTTCTACGTTCTGTTGTTCTGCACTTAGATAGGGTGGGTCGTCATCGGGCGAACCGAAGATCACTCTATCAGTCACTTGCGAGCAAGAATAGTTGTTCACAACCTAGATGGACATGAACACCCCATCCGAA